TTGTCCGTAGGTGGATTTTTGACACGGGTCTTGCCCGTGTTGAGATTGCGCTGGAACCCCCATTCCCTATACTACTACTTTGGAATATTTCAAAGTCCAAGTAGTAGGATTTTGAAATATTTCAAAGTACTAGAACTTGATGGGGGTTTCAAACTACTACACGTGGTACAAATTAAGAAAACCTGGTTGGTCAATGAGTTCATGAGTTATTAATGAGTATAAGATTAATCCTTACTTGTAATAGCCTTGAGTGTGTCCTTATTTCATATTGTGCTCTGTGTTTCTTGTAAATATGTGGTGACTTTAATAATGTGTATCTTTCTTTTCTTGTTGGTAAAAGGATTCTTAGGAAAAAGGCAAGACTGAAAATAAGTTTATATAGGTACAATGCTGCAAAAGCATTAAATGCTTTTCTGTAAAAAAAAATGTTAACATGCTGCAATTCACTCTTGTCTGATCCGATGCTTTTATATATGTATGAAAAGGTTGATGTATCTGTATAGTACCATCATTCCCAGACTAGGCATTACATATCAGTAGTTCGTTAGGTCCCTACCTTGATTTAAAGGTTTGTCCGTTTCCTCCCTCCACAAAATCTAACACTCAATTCCAAATGGATGTGTGAGTTAGCCCCCAGAGGTTGTTTTAAGAATACATAAAATATTAATGTTTAACTAACTCATATGTAAAAATGCTTACGTTTTAGAGATATCAATATTTAAAATATTGGCAGCCCTGGTTACAAAGTGTGTATAGCTTTTCAGAACTGCTTCATCGCTTCCTTTAACCTTTACACTCACTAAAGGATAGAGAGTGTCATCAGAGAAATCACTCCCCTGTTAATAAATGACACAACACGATCATGAGTCTCAAATATAAAGAACCATTCAACGTACGGTTCAGAGGAAGAGGAATGTGCAATGCAGCCTTTGAAATTTTTGTTTGCTAGTTACAACATGTATAGGATACTAGGGGCATATTCTTGGTTTGCAATCAATCCCAAGAGAGCACAATAACAAAAGGGATGTCCGCCATGTTGGAAGATATAACAAAAGAATTCATTGAAAAATCTTTTGTCAAATTCTTCCAACATGGCCACTATGACATCTATTGCTAACGAAGAATATCCAGGGGGTCCTACAATCTCTGTAACCCTCTTCATATTTGAAGTTTATTTTAAAGTGAACGTATATTTAGGGGAAAGAGGAAGTAGTGAAAAATTAGAAAACCTGTATGAGTTTGTGCAGCGAAATATGGAAAATATATTTAAACAGCACAGTTTTTAACCATTTTTTAGTTTTATGCCTATCTCATGAGAAATTTTTTTTAGCCATGCTAACTCCATACAAGTTATGGATATTTATAATTTTGGATCAGCATTGGTAAGGAGTTAAAATTTGGCTCAAATCCTAGAAGAAAGGAACAGATAAATGTTGCCCAAATATTAGCCAAACTACCTCAAATACGAATAACTTTATTATCCTTCAACAGTTCAAATGTAAACACCTCTATCCACCTGACATGTGCGTGATATGGTTTCAAGAGCACGTGGAGGTCAAAGTTCTCTCCTCCGCAAGGCAAAATACAACAACACTTACACTAGCTTGAAGCTGTGAGGAGTAATGTCCAACCATGAATACATTAAAACAACCAAGTTTGTTAGTTAAAAAGCACGGTGCTAATGCCAGAGCCTAGTAGAATAAAGAAAACATGAAATAAATACAAGATTATACTGAGATGAGGTCATATGTGTTTACGAAATACCCGGGACACTTTTGACTGTCACTTTCGCTAAATTTATCGACTGACTTACATTTCCTTTGGTATAAATTGCTTGGTTAATGAATAAAGAATGTGTTGTTTGTGTCAGTCCAAGGAATAAACGCTGTCCTAGGCATTTTAAAGCCATTTTGAACGGCTTCTGCCAGAACAACGTCCAAACACCTTCGCGTTGGAAGAAAAAGAGGACCAACACGACCAGACCGTGGGCAGTAGTTATAACAACCATTCTGATTGGCTCCCTGATATCAAAAGCCAATGAAAATACTCCTTTTATCTTACTGTAATCCAGGCTCTCCCGTCCGGATTTTCAACATGGCGGACGAAGAGTTAAAAATCATTTCATGAGCTCATTGTGTTAAAGGTTTTGAAAGTGATAGAGTTTTATAAAGAGTTTTTTCAGAACCCTAATGAGTAAGAAGGAAGCCAGCCATTATGATGAGTTAGGTGTTTTACAGACAGCTACCCGCGAAGAGATAAAAAAGTCTTATCAACAGCTGGTTCTTAAGGTTTGTGTCATCATCATCATCTTTATCATCATCATCATCGTTTGCCCAAACTATTATAGCATTGGTAATATAATTATATTTATGTATATATTCGATATTAATCTATGCAACATCCACGACAGATTTCAGTTAAGTTGAGCCATCAAGCCAAAAGATAATTTGAACAACAGACCTTTTTACCTTGGGTCAATGTTTTTCCATTTCAGACCGTGTGTCATTCTCTTAAAAATACGATTCTTTGTTTGAGTTGTATGCATATTCATGTGTCTTCTCATGTACAAAGAATTAAACAAAGAAATGATACTCTAGGGAGTGGTATCTGGTCTGCCGGAATTGAAAGAAATCAAGCTGTAAAGTGGACCTATTGGATTGATACTTTATTAATTTAGAATTCAACGTTTGTTTTTTCATTTAAGGTCCACCCAGACAAAAATGATCCATCATTGCCCACAGATGAGCAACAAAAGAGAATCGAAGCATACCACACCATAACTAATGCATGGAAAATACTTGGAGATAAAGAAAAGAGAGAACAATATGATAAAGGCATAAGGGGTAATAATAGAGATATTTGCTGTTCACAAACGTTGACTTAAGGAATCTTTTCTTATTCAAATTTGCCAACCAATAAAACAAAAGATCTCTTTATTTCAGTAGCCAATAGACCTCTAGTTGGCACCCTGTTAGCACATTAATATCGATAGCTGACGTCACCACAAACCTTGCTATAAATCGCACGTTTTCCAATTTCAGAATATGTCATTCCCTTGAGAAAAAGATTCTTTGTATGTGTTTCATCCATATTTATTTGTCTTCTCCTGAATACAACCATTTGATAAAGAAATTATATTCTAGGGAAATAACATGTTCTGAAATGGGAAAAATTATGCCCAAGCTACATGTAAAACTAGTGTCTTATCATTATTTTGAACATACTTGTAATGGCTATTATTATTTCAACATTCTTTTTATTTTTATTTCAAATTCAATTTTAGAACAAGGTCTACTTCAGGAATGGCCAGTCAATGCTCAGGTAGATCTTGACGACATGGAGTTAGATGAAGGTACAGGGCATAAATTAATGTTATCAGGTCTTGGGCTAGTCTCTTACACTTCCTTATTAGGGTCGTCACACAACACTTTGTCCCCTAAGTGTTAGTAGAAACAACTTAGGGGTGAGCAATGAGTTTACGTTATTTTTTACAGTACCTACTATAGTAGCATGACACAGGAAGCCCAACTGGTATTTTAATTTTTTACTCCCAATGTTAAATTTAAATGAACTAAGATTTTTATTTTTATTCCTTAAGAAACTGGTTCATATTCCTGGAAGTGCAGGTGTAGTGGTGAGTATGTTATCACAGAAGAAGATCTGGAGCAAGGTCAGAATGTGGTTTGCTGTTCAACATGTACACTATGTATCAGGGTTATGTACGCAGTACTAAGTGACCAGGAAGAGCAAGATGAGGAGTGAAATGAAAAGTTTACCAGTAAGACACATTCCACCAGTGACCAGGAACAAGATGAGGAAAAATAATGGTCAAAAATTACCAGGAATTCAACTCACAATGGTACATGTAAATCAGAATAATGAACACATTTGTAATAGACCAGGAAGATGATGAAAAGAGATGATGTAAAAAAAATTCCTGGAAATTATATATTCCACAATGGCAAACAGCAGTGATTGAAAATTCGTTACCAGGAATACATATATACAACTATTTCAAAGAAGGTGGAGTGCAAACCATATATCCATTAAATAGTACTAATTTACTACAAAATAGCACTGATGAAATACTTGAAAACGAAAGAAATATATGTGTTTAGTGCTCTTTAGTTTTTATACTATTTCGCGGATTTATGGATTGCACTCTAGCAGATTGGATTTAGTGATTGGGCTCTACGAGTCACCTACAAAATGTTGTCACTGAAAAATAAATAAAATACAGTAAATTAAAGAACGAAACTTGTTTTGAGATTTGCTTTTTTCTAATGATAGCTAAAAAAATTCTTAAAGTTCAAACTTTTTTTAAAATTTTATTCAAAATAATTAAACTCTACATCCTTGTTCACAAACAAATAATGTTAGTGATTAATTTAGTTTAAAGGGTTATTAATGAACTAACATTGTTTGTATCAAGGAGTTTCATCAAAAATCCACCGATTATTTTTTTTATAATTTGGATCTTTTTTTACTTTGGTCCCAACATGTCTTCTGGTCTGACCCACTCATCGAACTGCTCACTAGTAAGAAGGCCGAGGCTGATTGCTGCTTCTTTAAGTGTCGTACCCTCCTTGTGAGCCTTTTTAGCAATCTTTGCTGCATTATCATACCCAACATGAGGATTCAATGCCGTCACCAACATCAAAGACTCTCTTAGTAATGAGTCGATCCTCTCTCTGTTTGCCTGTATGCCAACCACACAGTTGTCTGTGAATGCACTGCTTGCATCTCCAATTAGTCGAATCGACTGCAACACATTTCTGACAATCATTGGTTTGAAGACATTTAACTCAAAGTGGCCGTTGCTACCACCAACTGATACTGCCGTCTGGTTACCCATGACCTGTGCTGCTACCATGGTGATGGCTTCACACTGAGTAGGGTTCACTTTACCTGGAAAAATAAGTCATAATTGCTTGTTCTCAAAAAAAGCAAAAATAAGACAAAACTTGTAGTGTTTGCTATCATTCTTTGCAGGTATATTAGAGGTTAACACTGATGTTGCCTGTGAACCCCCCTTTTTGTCCAGGATTTCAAATAAAAATATTGAAAATGTTAGTTCCAGAAAATATCCATACCCCACCCACTGAGGGAAGTGGAAATTCTGGAGGGCAGGGGGGGTCAGAGAAAGAACAAAATTACAGAGTTTGTATGAGAGAAAATTGGAAGTTCCTGGGGGTAGGGGGTCTTTTTACAATTTCCCTTGGGATGGGTGTACAGATATTTTCTGGAACTACACAGTCGCATGGCTTATAATGAAATAAAAATTGACATTTTTTAACATGAATGGGGTTAACACAGTTACAACCCCCACACAGACACACACAAAAAAACTTTCCATTCATTTTTAAACTCACCAGGCATGATGCTACTTCCAGGTTCATTCTCCGGCAAGAGCAATTCTCCCAAGCCACACCTTGGTCCTGAGCCGAGAAACCTGATATCATTAGCAATCTTCATCAGACTGCATGCTATGACGTTGAGTGCTCCGTGAAGTTCTACCATGGCATCATGTGCAGCAAGCCCTTCAAATTTATTGGTGTTGCTAAAAACAAATAATTTTTAATTGGACCCAACCTTTTTGTTAATCAATTAATATTTTTTGGGGGGTTGGGAGGGGGATATCAGGTTCTGACAAATATCAGCAGAACATAACTATGAAATCTTGGTGTGCATGACATCATAGTTACCATTTTTTGTTATGAGCATTTGACAAAAGATTAGGTCTTGGTGTCTTTTGTCATGTCAACCATTCATGGCAGCCATGTCTTTTATTCTCTTATTCTCATGGAAAGGGATGCACCCCACCAATACTACTTCTAAATGGATGTCCTGAACCATAAGAAATTGGTTCACCCATTGCTATACCTCAATAGAAAGAGACTGTGAGGATAATTAAGTGTTTTACCAGCTGGTACTGGCCTTCCGATTCTGATGCACTTAACTATAACGTTACGATAACTTATAATGTCACCATTTTTTTCTTAAGGAAAGGTCATTTTAGAAGGGAATTTAAGTTCACTTAGCCCTAGACAGTTGAAGAGTTAATAACAAGAAGGTATATTTTTCTACCTTGTGAATGGCAGTTTTGTGTATTCAGCGATCTTTGCAGATACTTTCTCAGCAAACCCAATTCTTGTATTCAATCCAGTCCCTACAGCAGTTCCTCCAATAGCAAGTTCATAAACTCTCGGCATTGTAGCCTCAACACGTGCAATACCATTCTCAATCTGCCTGACATAAGCACTGAATTCTTGACCCAGCGTCAAGGGTGTGGCATCCTATCAAAGAAGGAAATAGGAGGTAATAAATTGAAGAACAGAAATGTAGGTTGGTATCTAGACAAGGTATTTGTTTTATAAAATTGACAGGAACTATACAAGTGTTTAACAACCTATTACAGAGCAACATGCAAAAGTATGACCACACTTCTATGCACCAGCTATTTGCTGCCGAACCAGCCAGCTTTGTGTCAAAATGTTTCTGTCTAAAGTATGACAGCCCATTCTTTATGGATTATGGCTGGTCATACTCTTGCATATCACACTGTAAAAAGAAAATATGGGAAAATAAATCCAAGTGAATAAACCTGAGATAACCATATTGAACCACCATATTGAACCAGGGATCAAAGAAAATGAAAGGCAAATCTAAGCATTTCTTGCACTTCTTTACCTGAGTGTGTGTTCTTCCAATTTTTACGATGTCCTTGAAGTCCTCAGCCTTTTCATTCAAAGCTGCATGGAGTTTCTTCAAACCAGGAATGAGAACTGAGTTGACCTCAACTGCACAGGCTACATGCATAGCCGTAGGGAAAGTATCATTTGAGCTCTAAAAAGGAAACAAAATTCACTGATTAAATTAGTCATTACCTGGTACCCATTTTTTGGAAAGGAGGCTGTTCTACGATGACAAGTATTTCTGCACATATTTGATCTTGCCACATTTTTTTATGAAAACACAAAAGCAATCAAACTTTTTCTTGATGAAATTTATGGCATTTCTTTTGTATTTTCATGATAGCCTCACGATTAAGACAATTTTAAGAAGGGTCCAAGATTTTTTTTCTGAAATCCTTAAAAAGACTGAGAGACTATTCTATGCAGAACTAATCTGAAATCTTTGTCCTACTCCTTGTATTTTTCCTGACATACATATAAGCCGCAATACCTGGCTTTTGTTGACGTGATCGTTAGGATGAACAGGCTTCTTGGAGCCCATCGTTCCACCCATCATTTCTATGGCTCGATTACTAATGACTTCATTCACATTCATGTTTGACTGAGTCCCTGATCCAGTCTGCCAGACAACCAATGGAAAGTGGTCTATCAATTTGCCACTTATCACCTGAAATACACAGAAAGATCCTTTAATTTGAAATATAACACAAGCAATGATTGGCTGGTTGCGAGACCCACAAGTTCTTAAAATGTTATAAGATGGTTATTGTGTTGCTGATCTTCGGGGGCTTAACAAATTTCTTCCTTTAAAAAGGGGGGCTTATTAGAGAGGGGGAGCTAAATAGAGGATTTACGGTAACTGCACAGATTTTTTTTTGGGGGGGAGGAGGCATGCACTTGAAGATCAGCAACCCACTCGAGAAATGATGAGAAGTACTCAACTTCTACTCATTATGCCTCATCTCCTATAACTTCTCTCACGTTTTACCAATCCCTTACATGCTCTATAACTACACAAAGCACATACACATGTTTTCTATTTCTTGATAATTTCATTTATAAACAGCTTTCGTGTACCTCATCTGCTGCCTTCATGATATTATCCGCAACACTCTGATCAAGTCCAAATTCCTTATTGACTTCTGCTGCAGCTTTCTTCAAGTATCCAAATGCACGGATAACTGGAGGCTGACAAAATTTGTAAAAACATTTTAATGCAAAATAATTGATGATATTTTTTAAAATTTCCTAATACTTAAAACATTCATCTTCTAAAAGCCTAGGAATTAGGCTGCAAATTAAAAAAACTTACTGGCATTCGCTCACTTTCATCTCCAATTGGAAAGTTCATTTTTGATCTTGCAGTTTGAGCTCCATAGTATTTGTCCTCTGGGACTTGTATCTCTCCAAAGCTGTCACTTTCAGTACGCGTAGCCTAAAAATTAGCCAAAAATAACAAATATATCAGAGACTTTTTGACATACGTTGTACACATATTTCATAACCTGCCATCAACTTCAAACCCTCCCCCTACCTCCCAGCTACATACGTATACACCCTTTTAATAAATCCCACAATCCCTTATATTTTGCTCTTGCCATCAAATTTATTCTTTTGAAATTTGCTTTGAAAATTGAAGAGTAAATTTGATGTCAAGCTTGGAAAATTAAACAATGTGGGATCTATCAAAAAGCCTAGAAGGCCAAGAATTGTGAAAACATTTCTATGATAAGGACTCAGTGCTTGCACCCCTATTCCTACCCTCCCCCCCTCCCCCCTTCCTTATAGATATATGCAGGGGAAATATTCTATGTTCAAACTAAAAGATAATGCCTAATTTTATTATTTTTTTACAAAATATTTCAATATCATATACAAGCAACAATAAACAGATCCGCACTCTCCCTTTCATTTTCATTTAAGGTTCGTTCGAGGATTATAGATCTTTCAACGCCTAAAATAAAATAAATGTCTAAAAAGATATCAGATCTACGGTCTCTTTATTTCATTTTTAAAACATTGTAAGTTTAACCTGTTTCAGAAATCTAAATAAATCAATGAATTAATAAATATTAGTTGTTTTAATTCTATAGGTTATTCACGTACAATTTATTCACACGTGTACAAAATTCTCTATCGAAATAAAAGGTTAAAAACTTTGACACACAATGAACATGCCAAAAGAATATGGCTGAAAGATGTCCACTTCCACTTACCATGGCTCGTACAAGGCTTAATATAGCTCTGTTTGGTCTAAGATGTGATCTAGCTAAAGGAGAAAGATATGCAGGTGTTTTTAACAGCGTGATCAACCTGTAAGCCATTCCCTAGCAGGACAAATATTACTGCATGCAAATGTGTACTTGGACCACAAGATGGACGACGGGCAGCGGGAAGCAGTGCGGGCTCAGCTGAACATAATCCTTAGTGAGGGAGGGGAGGGTGGGGCGTGAAATGTAATTTCCTTTTCCGTACGATTTGACTTTATTTGCTTTGATTTTTCATTGCCGAAAGATTATCTTACAATCCAATTGTTTAAATTGTGTACACGAAAGAGCGTTTTTGGTATGGAGTTGATAGTTTTTCAGTGAGAAATGCCATTTTGTCAGTTACTCTGGTTTCGCTGGCGACACAGATTTAAAATATAAAAAGCGCGCGCGCGCTTAGAAATGTTTCGTTAATTGTGATGTCATCATTTGAAGACGTAGTACGAAGAAAAGATCAAAATCCGGCGGTTAAGCTTTTATCGGGCTTTCTGCCTATTTTTCAACAAAAATGATTCGGTACCCGTTGAATTGGAGTTATTAAAATGACACTGCATGAATCAGGTTTGTAACTGTAGTTGGTGTAGCAGCTTGCGAGTAGTTGATACCAGAACTGTATCGCGATTTGTAAATCACGTGGATTTTCTGTTGATTAGTTTGAAAAACCGGCTCAAAAACCATGTAATTTAGCTTACTTTACCTTCGTAAATCAGAGGAAAAAATCTCTTCACAATGTGTCGGTCAAGAAGTTTCTGATTTTGCATTTTCTTTGAGCAGGAAAAACGAGAGATCCTGGCGCTTTACGCCAACTTCTTACTCATGTCCCTGGTATGGTAATCAAATGTGATCACAGCCACTCCATGCCAAATGTCACGCATGTGGTTGGAGTCTGTATGTTTGCCGACATCTCAGGTAAGTAGAAAACACTTCGTAAAGCTCGTAAAGAATACAAGTGCACGAGAATTATGGTAAAAAAAACATGTTCTTGATAATTTATAATCAAAGTATCAACAGTTTCTGTCGTTTCAAGGTCATGTCATCTATATTTGCGCTTGCTCAGCTCATGAAAAAACGAAAACAAACGCTATTTGCGCCGCTTATGCAGTGCCGGAACTGATTTGCCAATGAATTATAAAATGCATGAATGAAAGAAACCTCTTTCTACTTGATATTATCTAACGTACTGATGAATAAAAAATAAAGTAGTATATTCTATATTTAAGGCTTTACATCCCTCTGCGAGACTTATGGCAACCTAGAAAGCTCAAATGGAAGCGGAACAGAGAAGCTCACAGCTACTTTAAACACTTACATAGGAAAAATAGTCGAAGGTATGTGGGAGCGCAGCAGCGCAGTATTCGTTCATACCTCATCAACATTATAAGATTCTTGACGTGATCATTTTTTCCCCGGCAGATATTCTAATCAATGGGGGAGACGTGCTTAAATTTGCAGGTAAGGTTTGCTTGAGGAAGAGGCCAAAGGCAGGCTAACTTTATGTTAAATTTCCCACCATGTACCGGGGTTCGTGGAGCCGGGGGTCGGGGGTCAGAGGTCAGGGGTCGAGGATATCAAAGGACTCTTCTTAAAATTTTCATTATTGGATAACATGAAAATACAAAAGAAATGCTACGAATTCCATCGAAAAACTGTTATTTTTTTGTATTTCCATGTTAGCCTCTCATGCATCCACTATACTTTTGAGACGAGTTCAATGACTGATGTATTAGCTACATACTTCTCTTGGTACTTGGTTACGACTAAAGCCGGTTGTAATTTTTATTTCTTTCATGATTGTCATAATTGCAGGAGATGCATTGTTAGCGATGTGGAAATGCAATGAGTCGTCATCAGACCTGACATTATTAGTTAACAAAGCCATCATCTGCAGCCTTGCAATCCAGGAAGAATGTGACAACTACATGACAGATGTCGGTGTGTTACTGCGAGTCAAGATTGCTATCGCCATTGGAAAAATGCATATAACGTATGTTGGAGTGCCTGATTGCAAGCAGTTTGACCTAACTGGACCTGCTGTGGAGGAAGTGAATGGAGCAGAGAAGTGGGCAACTCCTGGATCGATCATTTTGAATCGCCTTGCTTGGGCGAACTGCGAGCAGTCGCTTTTTACTTATGAAGTTATGGAAGATGGACAACATTTTAAGGTTGGCTGTTCTCATAATCAATTATCTTTTTGACTATAATGGCTCTGTTACACGACACTATTTCTCGCGAAAAGATTTTTGCATAACTTTAGTACGTGTGTATCATACGTTAGCGCAACTAGTATTTCTCAATTTTTTGTTGCTGAAAAAGTAGAACTATATATCTACAACTTAACTTGCAACAGCTTTATTTGCGAGACAAGTTGCGCAAGGATGCGTATAAAACAGCATCGCGTGTGCGACTTTTTGTCTCATTCGATGAAGCAACTACAACGGCACTGTCTTTATCTTGGTTGATAAACAAAGCATGATATTACTCATTTGTACGATAAACTAATTATTTAATTACTATTTTCTAGGTGACAGGAGTGCGAGAACAAGAGATCCAAGTCGGAGAAGAAGAACCCACGCGAACAGAGGTGCTCCTGATGTCTATGTCAGGGGTTCTCTCCACAAAGAGCGTGGCTCTCTCCATCCCTTCAGTCAGCAGGAGAATCTTCGGTCCTCACGTGGGAAACCACTTTGCAAAGCACCACCCAAGTCTAAAGCTAGCGAGGATTTATCTCAAAAAGCGCGAGGATAAAACTAAACGAGGATCTTCGAAAGTGGGTTGCAGTGTAACAGAAAAGTTAATGCGCACTGGGAGTATCCACGACCCAGGTGAGTGACGTGTCGAATGGTCGCTTGAGGGAGGGTGGGGGGTCAGTAGAGGGTTACGCATGTTTTACTCGCGTTCTCCTCTCCATTCTAGATCATCGAACAGATGTGTATGACTTTTTAAACGACCAGGAGATCGAAGATCTAAGGGCTTACGTATCCAAACCCGTTCTTTCAAAGGTACGAAGAAAACACTTATTTATTACATTGAAAACATCTCGCATACTTGGACTGTATTGCGGCTGCCGATGCGCTTTCACGCTATTGCGCTCAGCTCGACCACACCACTGTTGTACTTGAAGTGGTGACTAACTCAGTTTTCTTAAAATATTTTTTTCCATTATCTCAAATGATTATTTAGATCGACCACGGACAAGACCTACAGTGGCTTTCAGAGATGCGTCAGGTCTCAGTCTTATTCATCAATATGGTTCTGCCAAAGAAAGGTGACCAAAGTTCTTGGGCGCTACAAAAAGCCTTTGAAATCATTTACGAAAATGTTCGTAGACTCAGAGGTAAGAAAACAGGCAGGATATAAAAAGTGTCTATCGGTATTTTCAAGTTTAACCAGCGATATCTTTTCGTGTAGGGAATCTCAATAAAGTATTTTCGTTCGACAAGGTAAGACTAATACCTCAATGTTCACCTGTACCTCAACTGAGTTTGCGTGTACTTACAGTTAGTCTTTCAAAACGCATCCCACATGGAAAGGAGTGATTATGGATGTTAAGTCATCAGCTCCAAAAGTCAGCTTTTCAGGTCTGCTGGTCATAGCAAGGGGTTAATCATTTACGGTCTAGGGGCCGACTAACCTCTCCCTTAGGCTTTTGCCGAGCTTCCTGATCAGGCTGTAATTCCTCCCGGGATAGCGGTGTCGGGGTCGAAATCTCTGGCGTAGCCGTAAATGCTTCGCGCTACCATACGACGCTTCAGCATTTGGGTCTGGGAGTATGGTCTCCGGTTATTTTTGATTATAAAAAATAAAAGAATCCAACACTATTTTCTCTAGCAGATTCCTAAAAAAAATTTCTGGCCACACTTCTGATTCTTAGTCTGCAAGGATTTGTTGGAACAATGGAAGTATGGTCCTGATCAATTCAACCAATCAGAAAATCATATACAGATTCACTTGTTGACCAACTCTATCTAGATTTTTAAACGGATTTTAAAAATGGAAAGGACAAAAGGGATATGAAGTACGCATGCGCGTTTTAGGTGGCTGCTATTTTATCAAAAGTTTATTATATAAGGCATTTGAGCCTGGAGCTCTAGTTTAATTTGCGGTGATTTCAGGGCTGCACGTTTCTCGTCATTTTCGGGTTGCCAGGCGACAAGCACGAGGATGATCAGACCCGTGCACTCAAGGCTGGACATCGGATAATCGATACATTACACACTATCAAGGAGATCACGTGAGTATGACGTCAACTTTTAACAGTAGATTATGAAAATCATTAGAGATATCACAGTCAAAGATTGGATGCATTCGAAAATATGCGCATTTTAAGTTGGTGAAATCCCGCGGGAAACCCTCCATGTAGATGCGCAGTATGTATGTGCGCTGGTATAAGTACTGACCTTCCCTAATAGAGAAATATTTTGTGTGATTGGCTTTTCTTATTTCTAGACATGAAGCTATTGGAGTGACAACTGGAAGGGCATTCTGCGGGGTCGTAGGGCACCGAGACAGACACGAATACACAGGTAAACCAATACGCCACATTTCCTTTCCTGAACTATTCTAGCCATTAAAATTTGCTTCTGCTGAGACAAAGTGACCAAGCGTTTGACTCTTGTGCGCTTACAAGGATATCATTCGATAATTCACTTGCCTTCGCTTTTTTTATTCCTTCTTCTTTCCTTTCCTTTTTTTATTTTTATTTTATTAATTTATTTTTGCGTCGCTTCTGATTCTGGGAGCGCAACCACATGACTCAAAATCCCTCGAGATATAAATAACAACGAAACAGCCGCCATGTTGGTCGATCTAACAAGAGAAGGTAGGAGGGAATCCTGTGTTATCATTAACCAACATGGCGGCTATGACGTAACATGCACTCCAATACTAGTTTCATTGATTTGCGAGATAAAATTTGTTCATCGATGTATCATACAGTGATTGGTCGCAAAGTCAATATGGCGGCTCGTCTGATGGTCAACTACCCCGGCATCCTCTCCTGTGACAACGATACATTCATGGCAGCAAAAACCAAGCTCAAAAAAGAGGATTTCCTTCTCTTGCCCTTTAAGCCTCTGAAGGGTATTGCAGAACCCGGTGCGGTTAGGGAGTACAACAAACACCATGAGTAAGTCACATATTGCGGATTTATGGTTGACACCTGGGCCGGTTGTACGAAGTCTGGATAGCGCTATTCAAGGGATAAATCCTTATTCAGTGGATAAATTTATTAATACCATCTACTTATCCACTGGATAAGGGTTTATCCGCGCTATCCAGGCTTCGTACAACCGGACCATTTAAACCAATCCATCCGGTTAGAAGTTTGTTTGCTATTGGTAAAAAAAGAGCTGGAGACTATGCCTTCCGACAAACCGTACACGCGTCTACCGGAAGAACCCGAAAAGAGCAGGAAAAGTGGTTTACCTCAATCGGAAGACCGAGTTTTCTGGAATTTTTCGATCGGACCGACATATACCATTTGTTTTCCCAACTGTAATCTCCGGTTTTTCCAGGTAAATCGAAAGCGCCACGGGATTTCAATCGAATGGACTACTTCGACGATAGTACGGCCATTTTGGGTCGCAAGGCACTATAGGTCGTCCAGGGGGCAAGACAAACAAAAGATGGCCCCGATAATATATAGAGTTTCGTGTGTTTGTCTTTCTTTCATGGGTAAACGTGATCGACGTGTCGTCTTTGGCAGTAATAATGACAGGCGATGTAAAAATAAATATCATTAAGCCTCACGTTAGTTTTATATTTGTCCCCTGGAAGAGTCATGACGTCTTGCAATGCAAGATGGCCGCCGTATCGTCAAAGAAGCCTATTACTATACCATATCTTTTTCTCTTTCTCAGTCGTGAAATTGAAGATGATGACACAGAATATCCAATATTAGGTAAAGTACTATTTGAAAACTAACTTTTTTAAAACAAGAACCAGGCAGGGAGCGAGGGTGAGGTTGGCTAAAGCGCGCCACGACAATACTTGTCGTTCGAATTTCCAGTTGAATAGATAAATAAATGGACAGTAATATATAAATATCTTATTTTACGCGGTACCTCGTCATACGGAAAGTCATTGCCGAGTCTCTCAAGTACCTAATCAGGGTTGCAAAACCTAGGTTTTACGCCGTCATTACACCTAAGCACACAATATCTTGGAAGGATGGCTAAAATGACCGCGAATCCCTATCCCCCTTTCCCATCCACCCACCCCTCCCCTCACCGTGATCCTGACAATAACCTTATTTTCAGGTCGAGAAAAGGAATGCCAAGATATGAAGAAACTGCTACACGCCGTCAATACAGACGACAGGGAGGCTGGCCTGATACAGCACATGGTAGTAATAGAGGGTGAGGCTGGGATAGGCAAAACAAGATTGATGGAACAGTTCATGGATATCGCCGAAGACGAAAATTTCAAGTAAGTGAACATAAAGATTCTTCTAATATGGGATGTGACGCACAATAATGTAAACGTACGTTGGTTAAATCAACAGGGTTGATTACGTAGAAGCTGATATGGCGCATGCGCACACGCCATATCACGTGGTCCAGATGCTCATTAGTATTCTACTTGAGCTGGATGTTTGTCGCACTCCAGCTGAAAAGGAACACTTGCTGAAGGAACATATTACAGAAGAGACGTTACGAGATAGCTTATGTTTATTGAATGACATATTAGGAACACACGTGAGTAACAATGGGATGATCTCCCTTTAAAAAATATTTTATTTGCTTTCAGAGCCTTTTCTTAGGGTGCAACCACATGTCTCAAAATCCCATGAGATATAAATAACGATGAAATTCAGCCGCCATGATGGTTGATCTAACAAGAGAATCGAAGCTAATGCGGAATGCTTTGTTATCGTCAACCAACATGGCGGCTATAACCCCAAGAATAAGTGGAAGCAGAAATGGGTTCATATATGTGTTGCGCTAAGATTCCTAAATATAACGATTTCGCAGTTCGCATTTAGTTCAGTGCACAACCCTATTACTACGACGATCAAACCAAACATTAAAACAACCTATTGGTCGATCTACATCACATGCCGCAACAGACGAAAATCCCCAAGTAACGTTAACAAAAAAAACCGGGGCAATCAAACCACGATTAACTAAAAGATGAATGTTCAATAACTGCTTCTACCCTGTTGTATTTTTCAGATACCTCCAAATCCTAAGTTCTTTCACATGGATACCAAACATGTGACAGAACACTTCCACAAACTCCTCTTTGGGATTGTTCATCAGGTAATGTTTCAGTATTTTCAAACTCTTAGCAATACTTTGAAGAATATTTTTTTTGTCGAAAATATTAGCCTACGAACTAGACCCTTAAAAAGGTTATTCCTTTTGAATACTGTTTTACAGAAATCGCAACATTTCGACTTAAAAAAGAAAAACATCAAAAAGTGGAATTCACTTTTGAATAGAATTTTTATTTAGTATTTGATAGGAAAATGGCTTATTAGCTGCAAGTGCAGAGTGGTGTAAGTTCCACTTGCATGTTTTTAGTCCTATGCATAGTGCTAAACAAGCATTCCTATGTTTGTTAAAACTTGCCCCCTCACTTTAAAACGGAACACTGCTTCTAGCCGGTAACAACCGCATAGACTATTTCAAATGTTTGTTTCCTCAGGTCGCGGTACAGCAGCCATGTCTATTTGCTGTGGATAATGCACAGTTCATTGACCACGAGTCTTGGGATTTTCTTGAAGACCTGCAGCGGGATTCACATGCAGTTCTCATACTTGCCCTTAGACCTTTTTCTGCGTCTAATCCTCCTTGTAAATCCGCTGTTCGCATGATTAATGACCGACAGTCAAAGAAATTTAAACTAAGTAAGTTGCTGACGAGGGTGCGGTAATGCAGATATAAAAATCTTTCAAGTTGCAGTAATGCGGCAACATTTATGTCATGCAACACAGAGCATGTTTAACAGTCTGCGCGCGACAAATATTCTTTGTTTCAAAGACTGGAGAGAAATTCTTCTTTGTGCAGAAAAGAAATTAATCAATTTTGCAAATTACAACAAAACTATGTTAACTGAGCGACATGTTGGCGCGACTTTGAGGTCCACAGTACAAGCATGGCATAAAAAGGGAATTCTTATTGATTAGCTAAACTCCGAAATGCATAGAGGCTTTGCACCATCACTTGACGGCAACCATGGCAAGAAGCAGGAACAATTGAATCTGGTCTAATGTCATTTACATGAAAAAGAATCCAGTTTTCCAGTGGAGAAAGACTCTATCGTAGTGCCTCCTGTCATGGCTTCCATCACGTGATGACGTTAACATATAATGTGTTGCTTTCTGTTTTCAGAGGGGCTTGACGCTAAGCTAATGAGTGACTTGGCTTGTCAGTTCATGGATGCGATGTACATCCCTCAAGAACTCGATAAAATACTTCAGGAGAAAAGCCACGGTGTTCCTTCGTGGTGTGAGCAGCTCATCAAAGACATGCTCGTCAGTAAGATCATTGATATAGTGCCTGATATAGAGGCATTTCAATCTGAGGTCGACACTGATGCTCACTACAAGCTCAGGGAATCAGACATTGCATCACCTCGTCCCGGGACCCCTTCGTTTCGTTCAGCAACCCCCTTACTTCCTGATACAATGGAAGATGATCCTCTATCTGCTGCCAAAACCAGAGGAAAGAGCGCACATGGTTCCAAAGGCAGAAGAGGAAGCTTATTTGTTAAAATCACTCTTGGTGGCGAAGAAAGGACACGGAAGCGTAGAATGTCTACAGGAAGTGCAAAAGGTTTAGAGTTCGACAATGAGTTTGACAACGAGCAGCCACTTCCCACAATTGACAACAGTAGACGAACTAGCCTCGCGAGTGATGCAAGCGCAATTGGTTTCAACTTGTCTGCGGAAAAGAAAGGTTGTTACGGTTTTGAGAAGGCAAATTTCGTCCAAGCAAAGAGTGACACAATGCCAAAAGATACGCATAGTGTTTGTATCGTCGCGCCTAGTGTTGACATCTCTAAGGTGTTGGTTCCAGAGTCCGTTAAAGACATGGTACTCGCGCGTGTAGACCGCATGTCGCCCAGTGAACAGGTCACACTGAAATGCGCGTCCATTCTTGGAATGATGTTTTCGCGGGAACTTATCGAGGCACTCGTTCCGATATCCTGCAAGGCTAGTCTAGATGTGGTTCTGTATACTCTCGTTAGAGATGGTATTCTAGAGTGCGCAAGTTTAGCTGCGCAGCACCAGTCGGCACACAATCACCACGGTTTCTATGACTACGACGATCCTGCGCATGCGCACCATCATGGTCAACATCACCACCATCATCACCACCACAACGTAGCAACGTCGCTGCATGCTCCTGTCTTATGTGGTTGCTATGCCCACGAGGGGAATAGGGTAGGTCTGTTTAAATTTGAGGCATAACGCCATTGGTTTTTCCTTCCCACAAACGGCAAACATGACCACGTTTTCTGACATCGTTGCCCTGTATTTCACCTTTTTCAAACCTTCCCACCAAAGACAAATATTTTTTTGTTAATCTACTTAGTGATTTTTGCGATTCGCTTTTTACTATGTTAAAGAATTTTCACTAGTCAACTGACGTGTCAGGTTTGCCATAAACTAGATTCTTAAATATTTTGGCTTTTGGCTTATCTTCTCTTTTTGTCGTTAGGTGCTTAATCTCACCAGCATGATGACTCCCAATGGACCAAAGAAGCAATGTCTCTTCTACAAATTTGTCAATATTTACGTACAAGAGACGGCTTACGAGGTCTGGCTAGATCACCAAAGAAAACAGCTCCACGAGAAAGCCGCTATGTTCTTAGAATCGCAGGCTCATAAATGTCGAGCATGTGGAGGTGGAGGCTTTGTACCTGGACAAAATGAGAATAAGGAGACCACCTCTACAGATAAGGGGACGCAAAAGGGTGGAAGGATGCGAAGTGATAGTAAGTGTTCATCAGTACTGATGGGTTGCAAGCATTCACAAGAGAGTTAAAAGACAAAAACATGGCGGCCATTGTGGTACCGTTAACAATGGATGCTATTGAGAAATCTTTTGTTAAATCGTACAGACATGGCCGCGATGACGTAACGTGCAATCAAAGAATTCACCATCATGTGATGGCAGCCATGACAGGAGGCACAACAATAGAGTCTTTCTTCTTGGGAAACTGAATTCTTTCTCATGTACCAGACTAGACCAGGTTTAATTGTTCCTGCCTCCTGTTATGGCTGCCATCACGTAGTGATTATGCATAGCAGCGCACGCTTATATTTTGGATATTAACGAAAGCAACAGAGCACTTGGGAAGTTGAAGTGGAGCATGAAATATTGTTAGCATTATCGTGTTCTGCAATCTTAATAATGACGGCTGGAAGCCAATTAGAAAATAAGAACTTCAAAATATGCTGTAAAATAATCTGATGCTGTAAAATAGTCTACTGCTGTAAAATAGTCTAATTACTCTTAAATCCTGTCCAATGTATGATATTATCAGGCACATCTCGCAGATCTACAAATATCATCTCATCCAGTTCTGCCAAGAGGAGGAAGACTATAGAAATGAGAGAAAAAGTCCAAAGTCAAGGCGCCTTCACGTCACGCGCACACGACAGAACAAGCTTCGCTCGACCGAGTAACTTGCAAATGGACGCTAGTAAACTTAAAGAGGTTTCCAGAAACTCCACGCAAGATGGAGAACTAACGAATGGAATAAGCGGTGATGAGAATGGAGAGGAAAGACGGGTCAGTTGGATTACGAAATTTCGAAGAAAGAAGAGTGCACGCGTCAAAGCGCAAGAGGAAGAGACCAACATCCAAGGTAAGAAGAATCTCTATTGGATTAGATATATATTTTCAAACTGATTGGGATTATCTGACAAGGTTTAAAATACACGTAATTCAAAAAACGTTGTCATTGCCAAAGGCGATAGGCTTCCTCTATAGGAGATAGGTCATTCCAAGATACAAAAATAGCTGGAATGACTCGTGAGAAAGGCCCATTTGTAGAAGAACAGCGACGTTTCGACTCAGTGCTAACTGTTAGTCTTCATCAGGCGATGGCATAGACCTGATATTTTATAAATACGAATATTAGGCTTCATCAGGCGATGGCATAGACTGGATAGTGTGTCCGTTATATACCACTTATCGGAACATCTGCGTTGTAATTGGTTGTTAAGGTGTAATGTTTAATAGGGTACCTCTTTGATTGATTTAGAAAAACTTGGAAGACTGAAACTAATAGAGGAAGAAATATCTAATGTAGAAACCGAGGAGGAATCAGAAACTGTCAACGTTAAAAACTGTGAATGCGCAGAAATCCTCGCATCCGTTTTCCCACAGCTTGTCGATCACTGGCGAGCCTCAGGGAACAAGATCAAGACTATTCGGTATTTGACCGAGTCTGGGGCGGCGGCACTGACTACATCGGCCAACATGCAGGCCTTGTCTCACTTGTATGAAGTTAAGACTATGTTTGGTGAGAAGACAGAGGATGGTGGAGATATTTCTACAAAAGAAGACATGGCGAGAGTGGAAAACCTGATTGGGCAGGTTAGTTTTCCTATCTTTTTCAGATTTTATCTATACCCCGAGACAACCTCTGGGTTGATCAAAGTCAGGGTATGGCTAACCCACAGACTGAACCCTGAGACAACCTCCGGGTTGATCTAAGTCAGGGTATGGCCAACCCACAGATTGAACCCTGAGACAACTTCTGGGCTGATCTAAGTCAGGGCAGGGTTAACTCACATACCAAACCGTGGGACAACCTCTAGGTTGATCTAGGTCGGGATATGGCACTCACAGATTGAACACTGAAATAATATCTAAGTAAACTGAGACAGGCCATGACTAGTTATGATCGAATTGAAATAAGTATTGCATGTTAGATTTTGCGGAGGGAGGAAAAACCGGAGAACCTGGGGAAAACCCTCAAAATAAGGGAATAACATAACAAACGCTACTGACGTGATTATTTTTTAATAAATATGTAATTGTTTGGGAAGCTGTTTCTAACCAATGCGTTCTTGACTTTAAGGCACTCTTCCACATGAACCGTCTCGACGAGGCTCTTTTACATTTTCAAGAGTGCTTGGCTCTTCTGGGTAAAAAGCAGCCCACTAGTAATCTTGGAGTTTATCTTCGAATCAGGAAAGAAGCCTTCCGACATTATCTGCATATTCTCTTTCCTGGTTATTTTATTCAACGCGCAGGGTAAGGGGATTGCCGTGGGATACCATCCTGTGGGATACCCTGTATCATCTTGTGGGATACCCTGTACCATCTTGTGGGATACCCTGTACCATCTTGTGGGATACCCTGTATCATCTTGTCGGATACCCTGTATCATCCTGCCGGATACCCCATATCATCTTGTCGGATACCCCATATCATCTTGTGGGATACCCCATACCATCTTGTGGGATACCCTGTATCATCTTGTCGGATACCCTGTATCATCTTGTCGGATACCCCATATCATCTTGTCAGATACCCCGTACCAACCTGTAGGACACCCCGTACCACCCTGTAGGATACCCCGTACCATCCTGCGGGATACCCCATACCATCCTCCAGGATACCCCGTACCATCTTTTGGGATAACCTGGCTCATCCTGCGGGATGTCCTGTACCATCACATTGGATACTCAGTACCATCCTACGAGTAACACGGTTCCATATTCAGAACAATACCGTGCTAAATCTCGTGTGATACTGCGTCATCTAACACCTATTTCTGTGTACTAGGGACAACTCCACAAGGCTCATTGAACAGGCTCGTTGTCTGTCCCACATATCACATGTCTACCACGCCTTGCATCAGAACGACAGGTCACTAATGGCTGCCATACAGGAAGTAAATGCTGCTGAAGAAGCCGAGGAAGACCTGCACGAGGTAAGTCACATATCAGGTCAAGGAAAGCTCCATAACTTAATTGGAAAAACGACCCATATTTGTGCTTACAAGTTAAATTCCAATTCGATCTGCGAGTTACGCATGCCTTGCCTTAGATCAGCCAGAAGTTCGTTTCAGGTTAAAGTTCGATAATAAAACAAATTCGTGCAACACCATAGGGGTATGGATGCAATTGCTAGACACAAGTTGTGATGATATTGTACGACATACTTTTTGATTGCTTGCTTTCCCGATTTAGCTTCTTGTTGCTTATGCCGCTGTCATTGAATGTACTCATCTGTTTGGATGGACAAGCTGGGGTGAACAGTATGAAAGAATTGGACTCCAAAGGTAAGATCAATTGAAAATATGATGATGATGGTGGTGGTGGTGGTGATGATGATGAATGCCATTGATGGTTCTGGTCACAATGACTGAAATTATCTTTCCATAGATGTCAAGAACCTCGTCTTCTCTTGAACCAAGAGGATTTAGCAACAGTTGCTCATCTTTACAGTGTCAGTCTATCATTCAGACTGGCTATAGCCAACACAGAGGGAGCTATAAAATCAGGTACGAACTGTCAAAGCACGTTCCTTCCGCTTTTGTATTATTCATTTCTTTCCTAGAAACAATTTACAGTCTATGAGAAGATATAACAATTAACAGTCTATGAGAAGATATATTCTCATATATGCAACTGGGGGAAATGCTACCCCATGCATTTTAAATGTGAAAAATATTTGAATCTCCAAACACAACTCAAACAAGCAATAAAACAAACAAACAAAAAAACAGAAAACCAGACACAAACATACTTCAGTGGATCGTCTGAAATGAATTTTGCCTTGCGAATTAAGGACGTTTTGAACATTTGGTAAAGCAAACCGTTGTATACATTCAATTGAAAAATCGTTGTCGGGTTCAGAAACATAGGACATAGAAGCTGAGACCGAAATTGCACATGGGAAGTACGTTAATTAGATGCATGCTGTGACCGGCGACCCGTGGCATCATCCACTGTTTTTGATACGCGTTTGGCATTCTAAACCGACTGCATGGATGGCGCAAATGAATAAATTATAATATAATTATGTCATTTTCCATGCGCCATTTCGGTCTCAGCTTTTATGTTCTATGTTTCTGAACCCGACAACGATTCTTCAATTGAGTGTATATAGAAAACAACATACCAAACATTCAAAACTCATCGTAAATTGTATTTTGTTTGTCTAGGTAATCTTGCCATCAGCATTTCCAGCAAAGTCAACGATCAGCATATGAAGATTTCCTGCTTGCCGCTTTACATTCAAACGCAACTTCTTATTGGAAAGTAAGTCATTCATTTGAAGCAACCGATACCCTCGTTTGTTTTAGAGTTTGTACATTTTAGCGTCTCCAGCACTGAGATATACGTCTTAAGGCCGGCCGGCTCTTCATTTCATACATAATGGCTGGATCTCCACCAATTAGAAGCTGAATGTGTTGTGACCTCTACTGAACATTTCTTCTTCAAATACAGGTTGAGATTTTAAACGAATTCTAAGTTCTATGGTTATATAAGTTTGGGTTCTCCACCATTAAAACGTCGAATTTTGAATTGTATCTTTAAGCTTCTCAAAACAGAGTAATTTTCGAATTTCCAAGGCCCCTCTAATTTTCAAGCTTTTTTTTTTTTTACAGAGTTTTGATTTCTTAAAGGTATTTAACGAATTCTGAGATCCCTTTTTTATCTTCCTAATTCTTAAGAACTGAGACCTGCGCAGAGTTACTAAAGGAATTGAACTACACGTCTATAGAGGAAGAAGATTCACACGGCAAGGCAATGTACATGTGCGGCTGCTTTGATTTATTACTAGACGCAGGTGATCAATGATATCAATAAATATTAATAATATCCTTGATATGGATACGTCACTAGAGAGAGAGGGTTATACACATGTAATGCGTTATTACAAGATGTTAAAGTGTATATGACACGAAAACATTCCATCATTTAAAATGTATAGTTTGTTAGTAATAATAAATATATCGTAACAAAATTTGTTTCAAAAGCTTATTTCTTGAGATATTTGCGAAAGTTAATCCCAATTTGTGACGTCATTTTGTTGACACGTACTCTAGATTCAGTAGTAATGCACTAAATATAAATTGTAATTCATATAAATTAACAACAAAAGACATATTTTAGTCAGCTTCATTTGATAGCTTACGTAGTACTCTTCCAATGTTGGGAAATTGAAAAGTGTACTACTTGAAATTAAGATTCTATATTCAAACATATTTCATGTATTTGCAACTAAATCTGGAGACTTGTAAACAAAATGACGTCACAACTCGTGCTAAAAATTTTTGAATTTCTAGAGAAATACGTTTTTGGAACAAATTTAACCGTGATATTCTTATTAATGCCAATAAACTACACATTCTTAACATTAAAATTTTTTGGTGTCATATACACTTTAAACTTTGTATATTCATTGCAACACAAGGAGCAGGAGATGAGGTGTACTGACTGCGGCAAAGCTGTTACAAAATTGCAACACAATCTGTTTTGGTATCTTTGACTGCCTGGTACTAAAGTTGAGAACCAAGTAACAAGGGTCATTGATAACAGAGTGTGCGCCTTGCAGCATCCTACAACCGCAGTTTCCTAAATTTTTCCCTTTGTTCCTATTTTAATGGGCTACCTGTGGATTTGGGGGGAATTTTCGCGCCAGAACGCGTGTGCTCGCCGGACACTACAAAACTTTTTAAACAAATCCTAAACTTGTAGCAAAATGTCTTTTTTTAGGACAAAAACTCGAAGAGGTGGAGCGAATTGAGCAGTTCACTCTTAAAGCCGCCTCAGACCCTGCCTTTATGAGTGACGTCATTACCAAGTATTATCTTAACGCCTGCTTGGCATTATGGTAAGTTTTGGGTGACATTACATCAAACCAAGAACGAGACAAAAAGATGCACCAGGAGACTTCGAACTCCATGGTGATATCTTGGCTTTGTAAATTAACTATTTTTTGAAATGTCGACAGGTATGCACGAAGAGAAGACTGGGAAAAAGCAGAGCGCTACGTTAGCTCTGCGCTTGGTAAGAACCATACATTCTTTGAGTTTTCTGCAAAATCATTAATTTTCAAAGGAAGTGCATTTTAAAGGAAAAAAATACCTTTTTCAGCGCTTGAGCCAGAAAAATTCGAGATGTTCCTGTCGGTGAGAGGCGTACTGAAGGTCATTGAATGTCAGCTGTTGTACCTTCGAGTTGCACCGATGAACACAACAACTAAACATGACCTTAAAAAGGTATCGCGTTAAATATATTAGTTGCTGATGTTGATTTATACTCCTTATGCAGAGCAGGGCCCGGTTGTACGAACGGTGGATAGCGATATCCAACAGATAATTCTTATCCAGTGGATCGACTTGTCCACTGGATAAGGATTATCCGCCGGATAGGGTTGTCCAGGCTTCGTACAACCAGGCCCAGTACAATTTCGCCATCGCGAAAAAATAGGGGTTTGTTGAAAGTTAATCAAAGTGCTTCCGGAAAACACAAGGTTTTCAAAGGCACGTGATTAAGGAATGTCAAGGGAACGACTTAATTGACGCTCATGCCATTGTGGGTGAAACATCCTTGTTTTTCTCCCCTCGATGTTCTCATACACTTATTCTCACGACGTATGTATTCGAAAAGGTTAAAATGTACTACTGCTTTCGTCTAGGAATTCCACAAGGTTGACAAAGCATGCGATCATTTCCGTGTTCTCTATCCACGGAGCGTCCATCTTCGTGCCTATAAAGCTCTTCTTAAACACAAAAACAGCACTTCGAGAGCCTTGCTTAAAAAAAGCCTGTCAAAATGCCAGGAGTATGACTTGAAACTAGAAGTTGAAGCCATCAATGGGCATCTAAAGAAGTGGTTTGCTGGCAAGGACGACAGACGAATCAAATATGATGGAACAACAAGATTTTTTTTACCTAGACCGAAGTAACTGATAAATACTTGCGAGTACTGTCTTCAGAAATATAAATCGAAAAAACATAGATCTTAACCATCTACTAGTAATAATATTCTTACGTTTAAATGGAAAGGTGACATTTCCAATATTCAATTCATATTATGTAACTAATCTTAATGTATATAGTACTAAATAAAAGCCTCATTTTTTGGGGAAATTATTTAGCCATTTAAAACTCGAATGAGACAAAAACTTTGTTCTGCGTCAGCGTAAAGACAAAGTTTTTTTCTGTCAACATCTGAGTTACATGTTTCACGAGTATTTCTATTTAAAAAATAAAAGATTTGCAAAGACAAGGTGGCCTCAAAAACAAAGAAATAACTTTCTTTTTGGTGCGCGCAACGTCTTCAGCATTGCGTCGTCATCGGGAGGTCAAAAAGCATCAAGCGAAGTCCTAATGACGGGACCAAACTTGAAGACAAAGTCACGCGCACAAGAGGACGATCTCGGGCTGTTTTGAAGCCGCTTCGTCTTTGCTTAATTAATATATTTGTTATGAGTTTGGAGAACCAATACGAAAGAGCCAAATTGAAAAGTGATGTCAGACGCGCCTTCAGCTTACCTCATTAACCCAATAAGAATGAATAATATCGGAGATTAACAGTGGATTCCACAAAGTGGATCTTTTTCCACTGGAATTTAGGAGCCGATTTTTACGGAGGGAGGAAAAATTGGAGAACCCGAGACAAACCCTCGATCCTCGGTTCCAAAACTGCTCTTCCTCGCGCAGCCCTTGCAGCTAAAACTCTCAACGCAAATAACACTAAAAACTTCAATAATTTAATAAAAACTATTTTTCGCTCAACATTCAATACCTGCTGCTTCACAGACTTCACGAGCTGCACGCATTCCAGTCTCGATCGCAGACTGCACTGTGGCAACCACTATTTGACTGGTCGCCTCTCCAGCAAAGAATAACCTCCCTTCTACTGGTGCTGACAAGTGTTGTTTCGAGTCATGAGTATTAACTGTCTGCGTACTGTATCCTCCTCTAATATATGGGTGTCTGGACCAGTGCTCGTACACAAAGCTCATGAAGTTGTTGGTGGCAGGTGTTGGATCGGCGTCGGTCCTAGAAGAATTGCATGCCTAAAGGTCATTTATTTACTGGGCAATTATTTTCATTCAAAAAAGTAAGTTTCCGCAAAGATCGGAACAACAAACTCTTTTGCTTTAGAAATTACTGAAAATAACTGAAATAACAAAAGAAACTAGGAAAAAATCTTTTGTTCAATTCAAACAACATGGCGGAAATGACGTAACGACTTTTAAATGGCTTCCATTCCTCAAGGATTGTGACTGGATAATATTGCTGATATTTTGCGCTTTGATTGGTCCAGACTGAAAGCCAATTGGAAGTCACGGGAATGCACCTTCTAAACTTGTAAAACATTCTACTCTAATGAAAGAAGGATATTCATGAAATTTAGCAAAGTGCTTTTCCGTGCTTACCCAAATATTTCGTCTAGTTGTTGTAGAAATTGTTCGCAAACTTCTTCGTCAGAAAGATGAGCCTTCTGTGCAGCTAATGCAGCCGTTGCGAATCCAACACCCATGTGACACTCCTCACCATCTTCTTTCGGGTCACGGGAATATGTCCATATTTGACTAAGAAACCCTCTGATTGGATAAATGACGGTTTTTTCCCGCCAAAAAGGTATTCCAAATCTACAGACTATTTTCAAGGCAGCTCCCATTTGAATAGCGTTGATGGCATGTTGCTTCTTGGGCGGCAAAGGAGGAGAAAAGATAATATCACCATCTTTGAGGATGGTAAGAGGTACTGTGACTACCACATAATCTACTGCCAGGGTTTCTCCTGCTCGACTTGTGATGACAACTTCTGGAGTTTGTTTCACACTTTCATCTTTCTTTTTATCTGGTAGWGGAAAAAGAGAGCTGATCACTGTCTAGTCCACCCTTTCTTTACCCCTGCCTGGTAGGAAGAGAACAGATCAGGGGAGGGTGGGAAACAGTTGTACAAAAAAATAGGTTTATTCTGCCTCACCTGTTGTGACAAATAATGGGGAGATCAATGAAAGGTCAGGGCAAGGGTGGATCCATCCAGGGGGGTGAATTGGATGGCTAGGCACCCACCTTTAGAGTTGCAAAATAATACAAATACATTATGTATGAATAAACCATGTCTCACCAATGCACTTGACCTCCTTCACAGTCCAATTCAATCTTTTCTCCACTTTTGCACACTTTTCAAGGTAATGTGAAATTAAAACTGCATATGATCCTTCAAACCTGAAAAAGGGTTAGAAATAAACACTCCATGAAGACTAAATAGTTTGAGAATGTTGATGATTGACTGAAGAGATTTCAAGTGACTGTGAAAAGGTAAGATAACATCAGGCATCATCAAAGACCTTTTCTGAGATTTTCTTCAAACAAGGTGCAAATGTATCTATCTTGGGTACAAACATTTTTGGATCATCATGCCTTATAGGATGTCATTTGTACGATCCCAAGCTAAACCAGAACATTCCATGTTTATCAAATTCAGAAAAGTCTATGGTAAGGAGCAAACTTTCCCTGATTTCACTTGAGTGACCACTGTACAAAACAATGCATTCAAGTCAAAGTTAGACCTTGTGTGTTTATCCATTTACTGCACTTTATCAAGTCCAACCTCCACTTGTAGACATTTGTTTGTGGTTGGTAAAGCAAAATCAAGAAAGGGCTATTGATGGTAGCATTTGAACCAATCACAGAACACTAGATCAGCGAGAATGTACAGACATGAGGTGACCAACATGATCATAGCATGACACATTTGTACAGTTCCACAAGATCTTCTCTGTTTAAAAAGTACAAATTACCTGTAATTTTCTCCACCATAATCCCAGCAGGCTTTTTTGTAAGCAATTTCTTGGACTCCAATGATGTCCAGTGTGCCTCCACTAGTCTGGCAGACTTTACTGTCAATAATATCAATGGTGTTTTGACTGACTTCTTTTGAACTTAGCCAAGAAGAAAGGTTTCTTTTAAATATACCAAGATCACTATAAATGACACAAGAAAAAAAAGGGAAAAAAAGATAAGAATTAAAGTCCATTTATAATCTTATTAGTATTGCTTCTGAATGGGGTTTTTGTGGTGTTAAGATCATCTGCAATTTCTGTTTAAATAGCCTGCATGTCATTTATATATATATTTTTTTCATTTTATTGCTTAATTTAGTTAGATGTGTTGGTTTATCCACATCAAGCAAGAGGCACAACAAACCCTACTCACATGTGATGCCAAGTGAGGCAAATGCTCTACTACTGTACTACTGTGCTACCCTTGCTTCCCATACACAAACTACAGTTGTATGACTACAGCATTCGGAACAAGGGCCACAGGTTTGCTAGCCACTGGTAAGTGCTACCCTTGTAAAGCAAGGACATTTTTGTTTAAGTAAACATTCTTCAATCAATTTAATGGCTCTACTGTCTTAATATCTGGGGTTTTCTTTCAACAAGAATAGCCTTTTTATAAAAATAATATTACGTACTTTTTGACTGTGGCATTATCACCATCCTGGTTCAACTTTTCACCCAGACCTGAAATTTCATGCCAAGCCTTGGTAGCATTAAATATGTCAGGTTGATTTGTATCATGACAGGAATAGAGCTTTCCTTCCAAGAATATGGTAATGGTGTAAGGATCCTCTTGATCTATACCATGCGACTGAAGACATAGGTAATTTGTTAATAATGATTAATAAAACTTAAATTAATCCAAATAATCAATCAATAATCAATCATTTTTTAGCATCATATGTACTTATTGACTGAGTGGGAGGGCCGTACGGGAAAATATTTGGCTCGAGGTCATGTCGTACGGACCGAGCGCAGCAAGGTCCGTACAAATGACCGAGAGCCAAATATTTTCCCGTACGGCCCGACCTAACTCAGTCAATAAGCATTTTATCATATGACCCTCACGAAAATAAAAATAAATAAGAAAAAGAAAGCGCGTGGATTCGAGCAGGGCCGGACGGGTTTTTCCGGCCCGCTTACGTCAACCCATCCGGCCCCCGTCACGTGACTTTTTCCAATGGTTTTATTAGAGCGCGCAAGCAGGGCCGTACGGGTCATATGATAATTATCATTATCATCATCATCATTATTACATTTTCCAAATTTCATGATCAGTGGGATTAGCACACAGGATCAAAGTTCAATCAAAGATTTAGTTAATGCAGAAACTATGCTTTTTCACACAACCAATTTGTGTTGACAAAGGGCCTTCTGAATATTGATTAGACAAAATGATGGTGAGGATGAAAAGATTAGAAAAGATTAATTTGGTGAGAAATGAAATATAAGTTCAGAAAAAAGTAAAATACAATAATACTGAAGAACCATATTAGTTAATGTCAAAATTSTATACACATACTTGTTTGACAGTCCAATTATTCTCCTCAGCAAGCTTATTTATAATCGAGTTCGAGCCGTGAATAAAATCAGCTCCCAGGTCTATRGGTGGRAATCCAGGAAATGCTGTCACTGTTTTAATTCTCCCACCTAAGAGATTACGTATGGGAAGCTAAATTATTGAACAGTATTTTGTAATCATTCAATTCATCCAATTCCATTACTGCAAATATGTCATTATATATGAATGCATACATTATCTTGGGCAAAGCATTAGTGGATTTCAATGTAATATATATTAGCGTAAAAATCATTCTTTCATATTAGAAGCAGAAACATGTCGAGGAAATATACACTCATGATACTGTTTGGCACACATTTGAAAAAGAGGAACAATAAATGCACTTATGGCTGTCCTGCAAAATGCTGTCCCTTGAAAAATAATAAGATCATCATTCTGGCCTATAAAACTATGTTTTGAGACACCAATTTTCTCATAGAAATAATCAATGCTAGCTGAAATATGCCTACAGAAATAATCATGGAAAACTACAATGAATGACAGATATGGCAAGCTACTTGTAGCACAAATCTTTAACTCCTAAATATGGCACTTATAACTATAGTCAACTTTGGTCGTTGCATGAAATAGTATTGTGTTGGCCCTGATTTATAACGTTGTACTTTAATGTCGAACTGATATTTCTTATCCACAACACACTCACCTATATAGTCTGAAGCTTCAAGAAGAACAACATCAAATCTTTCTTGTACTAGAGACGACGCAGCCGCTAAACCTGATATTCCTCCACCAATAACAGCGACTCTTACACGACCATCAACATTTTTTGATTTATTTTCTATGAAGATTGACAAAACATGTATATACTTATATAAATTGAGAATCTTAAGTTATATATTTAACAGAAAAATAACTTCTACACGGTCATAAAATTTCCTTACTATTTTCCGCACCTTCGTCCGCCATATTGATTTTGGTCCCTGGTATGACGTCACAGCATGTGGTAGATGGGAGCTTGAGGCGAGTTTTGGGATTCAATATTTTGCGCCAACAAAACAAAAATTACGCGAAGGAATATTTTAAAATGCTTTTATTAATTTCAAAGATTCTATGTCACTATTCCTTTATTTCAACCCAAATGTTATCAAGAAAGTCAATTCTTTTTAATATCACTACATAACCACAAAAACGTTTATCGTTTTACGCTTGCGATTTAGTGTACTAATTAATACTACTGAGATTACATAATCGATCGTTGATCGGTTCATAGTCGGTCAATATTCGGTGTCTAATCGGTACAGAATTAGTTGGTATGTCTTTGAAAATGGTGATCATTTTGGTTCCGCGTCGAGTTTTGCTCCTGGAAATCAAAAGACAAAGTATTATACACTAACTTCCTTAACTGTATGAAGGAAAATACTGTTCAAAATACTTACCACCCATGGTTGTGAAAGTCATCAGTTTACTTTCTTGTATGACATCAAAAATGGATCCCACTAGTCGAACATGGTATTGTTTGGCAGGGACAAGTTCCTTGAGGAGGATACTGTTATCTAGAGGACTAGCTTTGACCGCTTGCCAGATGTACTGCACACTCGACTCCTTGAAGAGGACCATAATATCTGATACATTACCATCTGGTATGTCCCAAGATACCTCGGCTCCTGTCCTGGAAGCATTCTGTACCTGGAGATTCCAAACTGTTTGAAAAGACATTAAAAAGATTAGATCAGTGGATCGATGGATCAACGGAACAATGGATCAGTGGATTGATGGATCAACGGAACAATGGATCAGTGGATTTATGGATCAACGGAACAATGGATCAATGGATTGATGGCTAAATGGAAAACAATGACCCCAGCCCTCCTCATATCCTCCTTCCTCCCTCCCTCCCTCCACATCACACACAGTGACACATTAAAAATGGCAACTTCTTACCGCTACTCTTTTTGCTCAATCGTTGATCTATCACTTTGTAGAACGCCGAGAAACCGCTTTTCTCAATTGCAGCATTAGAATGGAAAGTCACGTGGGCAACCCTCTTGGACATTACACTGACTGCAAATGCACTTTTCTTGCCACAAAACCTCCCGCCAAACTTTTTATCGTACTCGTCTGTTACTTTGACATAATCATTACTGTAAGAGAGAGTGAAAATTGAAATGAAATGAAAAACTCTCGAAGCACAAGAGATGACAGGCATGTGGTCTGAAATGGGGAAATGTTACACCCAAGCGCAAAAGTCACGTATCTCGATTGACGTTACCTGCACATGTGACTGCTTTCCAAATCAAACGTCTTGAACACGATAAATATTTCATCAACTCTTCCTTTCTGGGGACAAAGTTTCCAGGTCTTGTGGGTGTTGCTTGTATAAAGCGAATCATTCGAGGCTAGGAAATGACCATATCTTGCTGTGACCCAAACTTCATAACCTGTAGAGAAGAAAGCCAGGCATTTTAATGCTAAATAAATCAGGCTTTTTTAAATGATAACGACGAATCATTTCAACCAAATGTCCCTTGGGGAAGCCTCTGATAAACTGCAACTTGAAATCTAAAGTATTTCATAAAGAAAAATAGTCCCCTTCACAGTTCCCTGCGCCATCTTGAAAGGTAGCTGTGCCTTTGCATCGAAGCGAGACGAACGGTTTGCTTGCAATGAGAGAGACATGTTAATAATTGTCTAAAGTGTTAAAAAGGTCTCTATATCATTGCAAGTTTGCCGTTCGTCTCGCTTCGAAGCAAAGAAATTGCAAAAAACAATTGCACAAATTGAGTTCTGGTTTTTGGATTTCCTCCACAATCCTTCCCAGCTGAGCGGTAAACCCAGCGCGCGAAGCATGAGTGGACAAAATGACCGGCATTAAGCATTTTGGGGCTTGAAAGAGCGAGGCAAACATAAAGTGAAATTGCCTTTTTCTTCCTTTTCATATTTCTGTTCCTTGTAGTCATGTATATTATATTTTAGTCAAAACAAAACAAAAAATATGCAAAAGTTGGGTTACAGTAGACTGAGAATGAGGTTCGGCGGCAAAACAGCTAAACGCGCTGTGATTGGCTGAAACAAAATTCAGGCGAAGAAAAGGAACGTGGGCCTGGAAAGCGCGAATGTGTCTTAGTACCGCTGACCACGTATGAAACATCACATAATAAAACCAAGAGTACAAAAAGCAAAATGAAACAGATTCATTGTTAAAAGGCCAACCTGTTGTTGCAGATACTTTAGAACTTGCCGGTCCCGATCCACCCCCCGCGATTCCTTTGACCCGGAAGGTATATTTAGTTTTACTGAAAGCCATCGCAAGCTTAAAAGACGTGTTGTTTCTGCCATACACACTCGTCCCTAAAGTGTCGGTAACCTTTCCTCTATTTGGGCTGTAATAATCTATGTAAACTGTATAACCAGTTAAGATCCCATTGACATATTCCTCCGGAATGGGCTCCCACGTGACCAGAATTGAATTTGTGCCAGTAGTGGTAGCAGTGACGTTGATTGGCGCTCGAAGTGGACCTAACAATATAATAATTAGTTCATCTAGATTAGATTCATTCTTTTTGTTATAGTGGCTCTTCACTGTGAAATAGCCCAATTTAATCTCACAATTTAAGAAAAGCATTGAAAATGTGTTTTCTTAATGTAAAGTAAATAAATAAATAAATAAATAATACATACATACATACATACATACATACATACATACATACATACATACATACATACATACATACATACATACATACATACANCATACATACATACATACATACATACATACATACATACATACATACAAACATACATACATACATACATACATACATACATACATACATACATACACACATATATACATATATACAGACATAAATAAATAAATATCAGGCGGGAAACAGCCCCCTTAGATCTAAGTCAGGGCACGGCTAACTCACAGATCAAACCCTGAAACAACCTCTGGGCTGAACTAAGTCAGGGCATGGCTAACTCACAGAATGAATTTGAATTTAACTTGTTAGGCCGTTTTGCGGAGGGAGGAAAACCGGATAACCCAGAGAAAACCCTTGAATAAAAAAAAAAACAGTGAGATCCCTGGCACATGATAATCATGACATGATAACCATCACAAGCCTGGCACTTACGGCCTTGCTTGGTTCTCAGAGTGATGTTTCTACTTCTACGTGCATCTTCCTTCCAGTTTGTCATCGGTGTGTCTAGTGAATCTCCCAGATAAGCCATCACATATACTGTATAGTCACCGTACTTCAAGTTCTTAAAGATTGCAAAAAAGTCCCCATGAAATCCCCTGGAATCTGGACTAATGACGAGTCCATCTTTCTGCCTGACACAGACAGGGACAAAATCGAGGATCTTTTTTTTGTTTTGATATTTATCCCTGACTACGGGTTTATAGTACGGCCATGTTATTCTGATCATGCCAGCTTTTTCGCTCTTGGCTGTAATATACCAGTTTGGTACTTCGACAACTATAAATATACAGAAAATGTGAGAGAAAATAATAAGAAATTTTAATTTTATAGAGAACTGAAGATTTAATGATGTCTTGGTTTGTAGCCATCAGCAAATAAAGTCACATAAAGAGACAACCACCCATCTTTAATTTAATTGACGATTAATTGTTAGGCAGTTAGCTGATTATATATTTAGTCAAATTAGGCTTGGAAATAGACTGTTTGGAGACCATCCCCTACTGTTATACGAATAGTCTAACAGCTTCCTTAATGCCCCCCAAATAGTGACTGGTTAAGGAAGGGATATAGAAGACGGGCCTATGGCTTTTAAACGTCCTTATCCGAGTAGGCTAAAGTGACTTACTGTCCTCCAGTTTGTCATTAGAAACGAAGTAATCCAGCTCCATGTTCGCAGGAATAAAAAAGCGTTTGACGAAAAGTCGAATCTTGGCAAAGCCAATCATGACGAATTCATTGGAGATGCTTGTACAGATTTGTTGCACGGTCTTTCCGTTCGAATCAATGTAGAAAAGAGAAGATTTCCTGTAAAAATAATGGAATCTGTGTCAAATATAAAAGTAACCTATATATTGTAAAAACATTTCTATTGATATGTATGTACCATTAGTTTAATTGTATAAAGCAGCTGGTACATATCAGCCTGTGTGTAGATATGTAGTATGTCGTATCATCATCATCGTCGTCTTTAATCATCACCATCGTCATCACCATCGTCATCATCATCACCACCACCATCACATCACCGTTTTCACCATCATCTTCTTTCTCGTTAGCATCATCATTTTCATCAACAGTATCATCATCATCATCCTCATCACCATCACCATTGTCATCACCATCGTCATCGCCATTATCATCATCATCACCATCATCGTCACTATCACCATCACCACAATCATCATCACCATCATTACCATCATCATCCTCTCAATCATTCTCACCATCATCACCATTATCATCATCACTCCGATTTTCCCAATCCTTGGATGACAAATAACTGAGCAACCTAATAAATTCTGTCAAGGATATTACTCGTCACCTTCATGATATGAAACAATACAAAACTGAGAAAACCTAACTTTCTTACCTACAGATAGCGAGTGGGGAAAGGTGGATTGTTCTTAGTGATAAAATTATGAGAGACGTCTTCGATGGTGCTGATATAGTCCATTGACAATCCATCTCACGCGTAGAGAAATATCTTTCTGATCGTATGGTACCTTGCCTGTCTTTAACAACAGCCTTGCATTCTTTTGGAATGAATTAGATAATAATCAATGTAAGTATTCATCCTATCAATCAAGACACCATGATCCGATCAATGGATAGTAGGAGGATGAATGGATGCACGCATGCATGGATGGATGCATGCATGCATGCATGCATGGATACATGGATGCATGAGGGATGGACGGACGGACGGACGGACGGACGGACGGACGGACGGATGGATGGATGGATGGATGGATGGATGGATGGATGGATGGGTGAATGGATGGATAATCGATCGGTTAGCCAATTTGATCGTTGTTTATTCGTTCTTTGGTAAGTGAACTGGTTGGGTCGGGTTGGTTGGTGAAGCATATATTAACAAGACAGAAGGGATAAAGAAAAATGTTATAGTATTTCCTCCATTAGTCCCAGAAAGAAATAAACTTTGAATTATTTACCTTTTGGGCGTCCACAAACTACGCCTGCAGGGTTCGCCCTTTTGCAGTCGTATTTTGGCTTCTTCGTAGAGCATTCCAAAAGACTCGTTTCATATCCTTTACACTGTAAGGCTTCAAGGACATATGTTTGTTTCTTCTTTGTTGCAAAAGGGCTAGCGCCGACTCCGAACACAGCAGTTGGTGGTGGAAAACCTGCCTGACGACAGGCCACCGTTGCATCATCCATGTCCCAGTCATATCCACAAACCACACCCCATTTATTATAACTGTATATCTCAACTTGTCCTTCGTTAGGGATTCGTCCTCCACCAATACGAAGCGTTTCTGGAAAGTGAACGAAAATGACTCATTTATTTGTTAGAATTGTCCACATATCATAGAGTAATGAAGCTCATATTGAGATTTTGCCCGCATGCTTGTGCTGCACAATTGTACACAGGGTCCCCTTCGGGGTGCATTGCACTAATTTCCAACACCGTAAAATCCCCAGGACTAGAATCGACTCGAATCACGACCTCCCGCACTAAAGCCCCAATCCTAAACAAACCGACCCAACGGCGTGGCAGTTAACACATCATCATTAACGTACCTGGTTTCGTACGCACGTATCTGGTGCAGTGTTTTGTAACGGTGTTGTTTTTGTGTAACGCAAGTATTGTCACTCTATACACGGTGTTAGGGGGTAAATAGTCAATCGTAGCTCCAGGAGAAAGGATTTCTACGATGTCAGATTTATAGAATGTGCTGTTGTATACAATCAGATAGTTGTATTCCGAGTCACTTGACTGAGGCGTCCAAGACACGTTCATTTTACCGTTCCCAGGTTTGACATTGATGCTCCAGTTACTTGAACAAGAATCTGACACAAGAAAAAGCAAGAAATCCCAACCATTTATGGTTTACGTGAGTGAAGAAACATAGAAAGTCTCCAAGGTCGTTTTAGGTAGCTGAAACAGTCAAGGTACGGCGGGACGATCGTCTGGGCACGACCTGTAATTCAAGGCGAGGGCGTAGCAGGGCGTGAACCTCACTCGCTCGCAGCCAATGAAATGCGCAACTTTTTCGTGCTGGACCTGTAATGCAATGGGATAGCAAGGCCGTAAACCTCGTTCGCTCTCAGACAATGAAAAACGCGACCTTTCTGTGCAGGACGTAACATCCCTTTTAAACTAACCAGCTATATATAACAAAACAAATAAGACAGCTTTGTCCGTGCTCCGTTCAGTAATGAAGCACTTAGGAAGCGCCGTAAGCACTCAAGAAGTGTGAGAAGCACTCGGCTATCGCTCGGGCATCTCCTTACACTTTATCACCGAACGGAGCACGGAAAAAGCTGTCTTATTTGTTAAATAAAGCACGAGATGTCATAATCAGGAAAGTGTTGACTTTGTATAAGGAATGAATGAAAGAATTAAAGAAAGAAATAAAAAGTGATCCATGTTGTACCGTCGAAGAAAACATATCTCATGCGCATTCCTTTTCCTTCTTTATCAGTTGTGAAAGATGAAACGTAAGTCATGTTTATTGGAAATTTGTCGACAACAAGCCGTTTTGCAGGCGAGGTAGGAAGGTTCTGGTCAACTGCATATAGAAGAGTTTTGCCTTCTCTATTCTTGACGATAAGTTTAGTTAGCCTGTTGAAAAAAAGGCATTGTTTAACACACAGATACCAGACCTCGGTCAGAGCAGATGCTGGTCAGAGATAGAAGATACCACCCGCTCCAACAGCCAATCAGAACGCACGATTTTTAGGAATACCGAACCGGGGAAAAATGATGTTGTAGAAGTATTATCTTTTATCTCTTTATAATCCAGTAAAATGTTAAACGTTAAGTATATGTAAATGTTTTCGGAGCGTAGCTCCTTCTTTAGACGTGATAAGTTGAATGACCATTAAGCGGTAACTACAGGGTTCCAACAAACATTTGCATAGTGGCAGATTGTCAAGCATGGTGGAATGGGGCTTACGATAAGTCGTCCCGTGTTACAATTAAAATTTTGTTTCAAACGTAAAATTCTCGACTGCAGAAGCGGAAGCTTACCCAGATTTCGTTTTCAAATCGACATGTAGAAATTCCATTAAAACTTTGGTGTTTTGGTTGGCAGGGATGAACGTCCACTCGTGGTGTGCCTGGATCATGGAATAAGGATATCCAGGAGAGATGATAAACCCAGCCTGATCCGTGATGTTACGACGCTCAACTAGAAATAACAGAAAAAAGAAATGAGTAAAACTTTTGAACTTTAATAAAAAATTCTTTTTGACCTTGTTATGATATCTGCGATTAATAGCAAGACCTTCCTCCCTCGTTGATGGCGACCTCGAGTCTTTTATTCACCCCACTGTATACCACTTCAACTTATTTCTTATTTCTTTTCTTTCTCCTCTCTTCTTTCTCCCTTTATGCATGTCTTTTTGATGCATTATCATAAAATAGCTAAAATCGGCTCAATCTCGTACCCAGAGCATGCGTTTCTTTTGGCCTGCGTGAAGAACGATGGCTATGGCATAATCTATTTTTGGCGCATATCTTGCACCATGAATCACCTTACAACACTTTGACACGACCTTCAAATGGGGTTTTGCCTCCAACGAGACGCGTTTTCACATCTGTAAATGTCAATACAGATTGTTTCTCCAATCGCTGGCATTTCCTTGAGGTGTGAACACACACTGTGCAAATGGTGGGCGCAGCATTGTACACAACCACAAAATTGCAGCACCTCGAACTCTGCAAGTGCTGCGTGCAACACAGCATTGGGCAAGCGACGTTGCAGCGTGTCCCGTGTATGGGCAAAAAAACTGTTTGTGATAAAAATACTTCATGCTATACCTTGAGGTGCACGACGCGTTTTACAGACCAAGCCAGCATCATTATAACAAAATTTTGTCCATCCTAAGCTGGCAATTGTACGACACCCAAGAAGGCTCTTTTCTCGACCTGTACATCGTAGTCCCGACAACCATAGCTTGCTGATGCTATTTCCAAGCAAAATATGTTGGCCTTTCTTTGTAATCTTGGGATAAGTGACCATAGCATGTTTTGCAGCAACGAGACCCATTGAACGACAAGCCACATTGGCATCATTAATATCCCACCAGTAGTTGCCACATACTCGCGTCCATTGACCAGCATGATAGACCTGCACGTAACCTTCGCTAGCAGACTTGCCATCAGTAACACGAGATTGTTCTATGATAACAACAAGATATACATAACATAACCTTCACAGAACACATTCACTGCCTTACTTTTACTTTCCTTCAAAGCTCACTTACCCTTTTTTGTCCTGATGCGTTTGGTACAGGAATAAAGAACAGAGCTTTGCTCATTCGTCAAAGGTATTGCTATCACTCGTATCGAGTATTCCCTACTCGGATTCAAGTTATCGATGACCACTGACGTTGAACTTGCTAAGTTTGCACGAACATTACTTGCTGAAGAGTTATACACTACTATATATTTGTAACCTGACTTGCTTTGCTTCGGAGGAGTCTTCCACGAGAGGTCTATCCTTCCAGCTTCACCTTTGGCAGATACGTCCCAACCGTTACTACAAAAACCTACAAGAAATAGAGTTGACAAAAAAGTTTAACAAATTAAAGATGAAGCCAACGTGCTAACCAAGCAGCAACAACGAACAGGATAAATTCTTCAAGACAGTATTATAGTTTACTTACCTTCTGCTTGTGACCTATCGATAGCTGCATATCTCATACGGAAACCTCTTCCTCTGTCATCTTTTGGAGGTGTCAGAGAAGCGTAGAATATAACTTTTCCTCCTGCGCTCTCTATTATCACACAAACTCCTTTGTGTTTTGAGTTTTTGAGAAAGAAAAGTTCAGTGTTGCTGGAATCTTGAACAGTTGCTCTGAAAGATCTGAAATCCAATCAAAGCATATAATAGATGTTGTTTGATAAACCACTTTCTTCAATTTCAAAACAGCTGTATTCTTAAACTGGTCTATTTGCCGTACATACCCGTCACTGTAGGTTCGTAAATCAAGATCATCAAAGCAAACGATCACGTTGGGATTTGGTATTGGAGGTCTGAATGTCCATTCGTAGTTTGCTCTCTGCATGTGCTGTGGATATCCAGGGCTTCTGATCACTCCAGACAGACTAGACACGTTGATATTAACCACTGATGAAAAGGATAAATTAGAGGGAGAAAATACAAATTAACTTTATTCCAAAAATATTTACGTTTTATTATAAATAAGTAATGATATTTACTGCAGTGTATGGCTTACCATCTGGATGGCCACAGACGACTCCAGCGTCTTCACCATGTCCACAGTTATTTTCTCCCCATCCATCACGCCGACAATCAGAAAGTGACAACTCATTTCCACGACACTGAACCTCATCTAGCAATATTTCACCAGATCCTTGACCAAAGTTAGCAAGAGTTGTGGCACCGATGGCGTCTGGCAGCCCCAAGGAACGACACACGACTCTTGCATCATCGATATCCCAGTTGTCGTCACAAATTGTCCCCCACCTTCCGTTGTGGAAGATTTCTACTCGACCTTCTGATGAAGACGATCCTCCAGCCAGTCGTACTGTTGGTCAAAAAAAAACGTTAACAAATGATTTTACGACACTTTCAAGAATATCGTTTCTGGACTTCCAGCCACAGGTAGTCCAAGTTGAATGTTATTCATTAAATCACAAAAGTAATTAGTAATTTTTATTGCATTAGTTATTAATAATAATTTAATATTAATAAAACCAATATGAATATGCGCATGCGGGAATGCACGCAATTTTTTCTACTACTCAAAGTGTTAATCAAAAGTGTGCTTAATTAGCTTCGGGTTAAAATGCGTTACGACGTAACCTAGATAGAATAAAGAAGCTTTGAAACTAAATACTTCATTGACGTTTCCAATACGTAACTCCTTTACTCTCCCCGCAGGGAGCCTAATTTAGAAAAGAGTGGGAAAACATCGGGAAAAAATGAATAATTAAACATTTTCCTCCGATTTTATTTTCGCCTTTCAATTTTATCTAAATTGGGCTCCCTGTGGTCTCACTAGCAAGAGTCGACACGTTTGAGGGTAAGCATTGAGTGTGCGAGACATTTTGAATTGAGTGACTTCTCGCCTCCCCTCTTCGTCACTTGCGCTGTTCCCCGACCCCTCCCCTATACCCGAATGTCTTGGCTAATACGGTACGACATGATAGTAACCAGAAATATTGGATTCAAGTGCGAGAAGAATCTGGAAATGCACCTTGGAAAATGCTTTGAACTTATTTTTCTCTTTTTTGAATAAATGAGCACAGAACGCCGTGCAAAACTGCGGCTAATGAGTATTTAGTCATAAATGTCATAAATGCAAGACTTTTGATTAGGACGTGGCATTCCAGTACAATGTCAATCAACTTAAATCACTCAAATTTAGATTGTGTGATGGTAGGAGAATGCAAAAAGTGTAAGAACGCCAGTCATGACGTATCCCAGCGAGATAGGAGCAGATCAGAAACATCACGTACACCAACTTCTCTCGTACGTTTTAAGACGACTTGCGGAGTAAGGCTTGACCTCAGAGTCCATAAATGACAAACATGTTCCTTTAAACTTATATTTTTCATTACCAAGTAAATGATGAACATGTTTTGGTTGGCCACTCTTTTCAAGAACTAATAAATCTTTTTAAAGTGTCTATCACCCTTCTGACAATATTTACAGTATTGATTCTACATGGGATAAGATGTCGAATAACCTGAAAAAAGTTCATAGTTTGAGTGCAGCTTCTTGAAGTTATGAAGGCTTTTCCATGCCATATGCTAATGCGGTGACGTATGAGGAGGCATTTATGGTTATTTGTTTTTCCTTGTAATTCGAAACACCGGCTTCTATGTGAAAAATAGCCTGCAATAATTTCTATAAAAGCAATGGGCAAAACAATGACGGATTTCAAATTTAATTTATCTGTGCCAGTAAGGTTTTGTATATTAAATGATTACTCCTCGTGCGTCACAACATTAGCATATGGCATGGAAAAACCTTTATAACTTCAAGAAGCCGCACTCAAACTATGAATTTTTTTTCGGGTTATTCCACATCTTACCCCATGTAGAATCAGTACTGTGAATATTGTCAGAAGGGTGATAGGCACTTCAAAGATCTACAAAATCAAAAGATCTTACCTCTGCATTCTGAAAGCCTAAAGAGCACGACCAAGACAAGAAATCTCAACATTGCGACTCGAGTATCTTTCAGTGCTTTTCACGTACACCAGACGTTTGAATATGCTCTCCTATCACCTTTACCGTTATACCTACACAATCACTCGGTTATCAATACTTCATACGGAGTGTAATATTATCTGAAGAATTACGTCAGCGTATACCCAGCAAGACCTCGAAACTGAAGCCATTTTCATTGAAAATTTTTTTAAATAATTTCATGACAATAACATACGATCAATAAATTACTATTACCAATGAGATTTTTTAAGTTAGTTTTACAATATCAATATAAATAAAAACATGATTTCACACAACTGATAAATATTTAAATATGAATAAAACGAGTAATATTCAAAACACTGGTGCGACTTTTTTTCAACTAAGGTCACAACTGATTTATTATAATACTTAGACAACAGGAAGCCTATGTCTTCGAAGGAGTTTCAGAGGCCCTGAGATGAAAACCGTTTTTTTGGAATCCCGCATATAGTTTCTGTGCATGCAATGTTTTAGTTCCGTTCTAAGACCGCCTAAGACCCTCCAACGAACGAAAGAAAATTTGGATGAGAAATCATGGCGAATTCGGACGCATGGCAGTCTTATTATTCTTTTCTCGTAGATCGAGGCCCTCTTACTTGATGATCAACGCAACGCATAGTTTTGCTATCAGTTCCGTTTTTTACCAGTTTGATTTATGATCAGGCCAAGCAAAAGTCTTCACCTTATGTGTCAAAAACGTACCAAATTTTCGTTAATTTGAAAAAACCTTAGGTGTCCCCCCCCCCCCTCCTTCCCTTTGCCACGTCATTCTTTTGATGGAGCAATACCTTAGTTTGATAGGAAACAAAGTTTAAACGAAAAAACACTCAGGTTTTGTCGATACCCCGAAACCACTGATCAAAATCAAGGCATGGCTAACCATAGGTCAAATTGGCATTTACTTTGTTAGGTTTTATGGAGGCGGAGCGGAAAATTCCAAGAACACGAGACCCCAGATAGGGGTAAGAGGCGAGATGGACCAGACAGTAGCAATATGGGACACTAATAGAAGTGGGGTCTGTTTGAGCAGGCTCACGTGCCAGGAGGGGACAGTAAAAGATGTCAAATGGAGTGCCTGTGGGAGTCAGGTGCTTAGCTGTGGATATGATAAATGTGTCATGCTTGTGGACCTTGAAACTGGTACTAGTAATAACATTTATAGGAATTTATTATTTGCAACTTACTGACATTCTCCTCTATTTGTGAACACTCAAGTTTTATTTTTAATGTAACTATACTTTTATTTTTTTCTTTCTCTTTCATCATTTCATATTCTTTTATAGACTTTTATAGCTTTTATAGACTTTAAACACATCTAACTCGACTTCTATTGTTTTTGATTCATAATCTGATTGGCTGACAAACTCGAGTGTTCACAGTTACAGTAGAATGAYAGTAATAATCACTGTACTTGATTATAATTTAACATTAAGTTTGCATTTAGTTTAGTTTCTAATAAATATTTTTCTATKYCATTTATTCCTAAGGGAAACAGATCAARAGTTTTCAGCACCAGGGGTATGTGACTCACTTTTTAGGGAAATTATTTAACTATTTGAAACTTGAAGACAAAAACTTTGTTCTGCGCCAGTGTCATGACAATGCAAAGTTTTTCTCTCTCAACATTTGAGTTAACTGTTTCACGAGTACTTTTATTAATTAAAAAGGTTTGCAAAGACGACGTGACCTCAAAAACAAAGTAATAACTTTATTTTTGATGCGCGCAACATCTTCAGGGTTGCGTCCTCACCGGGAGGTTAAAAAGCATCAAGCGACGTCCTAATAATGACATCAAGCTTGAAGACAACGGCACGCGCATAAGAGGACGATCTCGGGCTGTCTTGAAGCCGCTTCGTCTTTGCTTAATTAATATATTTGATGTGAGTTTGGAGAACCAATACGAAAGAACCAAATTGAAAAGTGATAGTTGACACACCTTCAGCTTACCTCCTAAACCAAATAATAATGAATAATATCGGATATTAACAATGGATTCCACAAAGTGGATCTTTTTCCACTGGAATTTAGGAGCCGATTTTTACGGAGGGAGGAAAAATTGGAGAACACGAGACAAACCCTCGATCCTCGGTTCCAAAACTGCTCTTCCTCGCGCAGCCCTTGCAGCTAAAACTCTCAACGGAAATAACGCTAAAAACTACATTAATCTAATAAAACAAACTCAGAGTTCGTGCTGAGGTAACCACTTAAAATTCAAGGACTATTCAAGAAGTATTCAAGGACCCAAAAATTAATTTTCAAGGAGTATGTTCAGCTAACTATGCCAAGGTTTTAAACGGTGAATGCAAATGGCCGACTTTCAGATTTTCCGATCTTTCTGATTAGATCTATTTCAGAACCATGCAAGTAATGGTCAAAGCAAAAATTCAAGGAGTTTTCAAGGAGTTTTGCTAAAATCGTAAAATTCAAGAGCTTTTCAAGTGCCCTTGAAAACTTGAATGAAATTCAAGGAATTTCAAGGAGTTTAAGGAGGAGCACGAACACTGCAAACTATTTTTCGCTCAACATTCAACTGTGCTGCTTCACAGACTTCACGAGCTGCACGCATTCCAGTCCCGATCGCTGACTGCACTGTAGCATTCAACATTAGACTGGTCGCCTCTCCAGCAAAGAATAACCTCCCTTCTACTGGTGCTGATAAGTGTTGTTTCAAGCCATAAGTATCAACTGTCTGTGTACTGTATCCTCCTCTAACATATGGGTGTCTGGACCAGTGCTCGTACACAAAGCTTATGAAGTTGTTGGTGGCAGGTTTTGGATCGGCATCGGTCCTAGAAGAATTGCATGCCTAAATGTCATTTATTTACTGGGCAATTGTTTCCATTCAAAAAAGTAAGTTTCCGCAAAGATCAAAACCACAAACTCTTTTGCTTTAGAAATTACTGAAATACACTGTAACCAACAACAAAAAAACTACGAAAAAGTATTTTGTTCAATTCAACCAACATGGTGGAAATGACGTAACGACTTTCAAATGGCTTCCATTTCTCTAGGATTGTGATTGGATAATATTGCTGACATTTTGCGCTTTGATTCGTCCGGACTGAAAGCCAATTGGAGGTCACGTGGGAATGCACCTTCTAAAACTTTAGAAACAAAGTAGTACTTTTCCGTGCTTACCCAAATATTTCGTCTAGTTGTTGTAGAAATTGTTCGCAAACTTCTTCGTCAAAAAGATGAGCCTTCTGTGCAGCTAATGCAGCCGTTGCGAATCCAACACCCACGTGACACTCCTCGCCATCTTCTTTCGGGTCACGTGAATATGTCCATATTTGACTAAGAAACCCTCTGATAGGAAAAATGAGAGTTTTTTCCCGCCAAAAAGGTATTCTAAATCTACAGACTATTTTTAAGGCAGCTCCCATTTGAATAGTGTTGATGGCATGTTGCTTCTTGGGCGGCAAAGGAGGAGAAAAGATAATATCACCATCTTTGAGGATGGTAAGAGGTACTGTGACTACCACATAATCTACTGCCAGGGTTTCTCCTGCTCGACTTGTGATGACAACTTCTGGAGTTTGTTTCACACTTTCATCTTTCTTTTTATCTGGTAGTGGAAAAAGAGAGCTGATCACTGTCTAGTCCACCCTATCTTTACCCCTGCCTGGTAGGAAGAGAACAGATCAGGGGAGGGTTAGGAAACAGTTGTACATTAGAAGTAGGTTTATTCTCCCTCCCCTGTTGTGACATATAATGGGGAGATCAATGAAAGGTCAGGGCAAGGGTGGATCCATCCAGGGGGGTGAATTGGATGGCTAGGCACCCACCTTTAGAGTTGCAAAATAATA